TTAGTGGTAAACCTTTCAGGAAAAGAAGCTAAGAGTAAAGAGAAAGTTGTAGATCGTTGATGGTTCGTGTTGGAATCGAGGACCGTCATATTTTGGTTTACGGTAGTTTATACTTTTGGATAGTATTTGTCACTCTTTCCGGGTTGATGTTTTTTGATGAATACTTTCGGCCCCTTTAGATGTAAATGTTGATCTAAAACTTATCTTTTGATGGTAAATATATATATATATATATGTATCCCGCATTTTGTTGAAGTTAAACTTGAAATTTAGCTTTAGATCTATCCATTAATTGTGGTTCGGTAACTGGTGTGTTACACCAACTATGCAAATCATCCCATTTATCTCCATTTTGACACTCCCAATTCCGGACACCAACATGTTTGAATCATTTACATGCTTCACAGATTGTGTAAAACTTTCACCCAACTCTAAAAACATGTTTTTATCACTACACATGTGGTTGTTACATCTCGAATCCAAGAACCACAAATCTTATCGTTTCTTAGATGTCTCCTTAATATGCGCCATCAACACTATTTTTTCCTTTTCGTCAATCGCTTTGTAATTTTATTTCCGTCCCCTTGAAGGGCATTCGTAATGTAAGTGGCCGAGCTTGTGACACCAAAAACATTCGATGAAATATCAGTCGAATGTTGCTCTTCCTTTCCCACCAATTCCTTGGTAGTATCCTCTTCCGCCTCTTCCTTGATTGGAAACTGTTGTTAACTTAAACACCTACTCTTCCCCAATCTCTAATTCCTCAACTTTTGCTTATGCACGAGTAACGAACTTTGCAGTTCATCAAATGTAAGTTGATCGATGTCCTTTGATTCTTCAATCGAGCACATGATAAATTGAAATTTTTTGTTAGTGTTCGTAGAATTTTTTCCGCGACTTTGACGTCATCCATATCTTCTCCACAATTCCTCATGTCATTGGCTATAACTAACTGTTGGTCCTAGATGGATTTACAAGATTTTATAGGTAACAGTTTGTAGAAGGGGGGGGGGGTGAATACAAACACAATAACTTTAACTTTTAAATATTATATATTTATAAAAAAGATCAATACAAATTTTACAGATTGTTTGCGGAATAAAAAGGATAAAGAACCTATCTAAACAATCCAAGATACACATTAGATTACAATAGCAACAAGAAAAGATTTGCTATAAGAAATAAGTTAAGAATAAATGTGCTATTCACTTGTTAAAGTGGTCTTTCTCTTAGATAGAGAGAGTAGTGAGAGAATAACTTCTTGGGTAAGTTCTTAGAGAGAGGAACCACTCAGCTATTTATACCCATTGCATTAAATGCAATTCAGGATTTGAAAGGTTTCTTCTTCTTGAGAGAGGATTCTCTGGCACTGGTGGGACATCAACAAACTTAGACACCTTCTTGATTTGCTCGTTGAAGATGTGTTCAATTATTGACTTATGCTTTGATTTTGGGTGTTGAATGGCTTGTCGTATTTCCAGCCATTCATCGAAGCCGTACTACCCGAGATAAGAAGGATACTCGGTGACAACCTCTTTGTTCTCTCTCAAGATGACCATAGAGATGAGAAGCCCACCATCCTTCATCTGTCCACTAATGGTGATGTTTGAAATTCTGTAGGGACTTATTCTCTTTTTGATCCTTTCCTTGCACCATTTCAGGTCGCGGTCCCTTAGTGTCAATGATCTTTGGTGATCACGTTCAGCTTGAGACAATATCTGAGTGTGAGCCTTGACCGCGTCCTTCTTGTTCATATTTTTTTGGCTAGAGCTTTGACGGCTAAAGACTTGGCCAACTTTAAGTTATTTTCCGTCTGTTTTCGTTTAATTCGTAGCGCTTCTTCAACCTGGATGGCTTCCTCACATTCAACGTCAGTGAGGAAGTCAAACTTACCACAACCAGAGGTACGAAGAGGTATTTTTACTTTGGTTTGGTCAAGTTGACTCCTCAAGAAACTCATCCTTTGGTTGATAAGAGATATAGATGTTGGAATGGCAGATATCCTTTCATCTGGAGGACCATAAGAGATTATAGGTGCAGTGAGAAGAATGGAGGAGGCTTCATATTTACATGTAAAGGGTATGAATCTGGAGCTCTGTTTAACCCTTGTAGTATCAATCTTCTTGAAGATTATGGCTAAGTTGCCATCTTCAACCACTCCTTTGTCCTTAGACAAGGAGTGCTGGTTTTATTTGGTTTCACCCCCTAGGAAGCTGATTCCTTTGGGGAGACATCCTTCTATATTGGTGTCAGTCTTGGGTGGTATTGAATGGTGAAGTCGTCGTCATCGTCGTCGTCTTCATCATCATCATCATCGGCTCCAAGATCCTGTCCAGCGTCAGAGAGATGAAGATCTTCATCGTCTTCTACATCATCACATTCCTTACCACCAACATTTAACATAGAGGTGATGGGAAGGTCTTTGTGGATATCTGGAGCTATCACGGTATCATCATTATTCTTAGCGTCAGCAGCAACTTCAGCTTTGTTGGAAGTGATGACATCCTCATATTGAGGGATAACAGCTAGCAGTCCAACTTCAGCGGCAACAACAACTTCATCAATGGTCTCCTCATCAAATTTCTCACGCTGGTCTTTCTCCCCATCTTTATCATGAGCAAGACAACAGGTGAGATCACTAAGGCACCAAGAGATATCTTCAGTGCATCGCTTGAGGTTAGAGAGGGACTCAGCTTACGAAATGTTGAACTCGGCCATACATTCTAGGGATTGGCGTTAGCATTAGTAAATGAAGGTTCAGGGACC